ATGATTTGCATATTTACGCGATTTGCGCAAATGTTCGTCATCACTAACCTTGAAACGTAAGCATTTTTTGCACCATCAAGTTTGTAGACCAAAATGATTAACATGTTGCCATGTGGGATGTTATAAAAAAAAATGAGGTGAAAATTTAGGCTCGGAGCACCACTGGCAATGACAATGTTTAGTTGGAATAAACAAGAAACCGTTCAGTATATGTCGCTGATGCATGGAGGGTTCGGCTTTGTAGGATTTGTTATGTATGCTATCAGTGTCTTCTACGACTTTGGAAAAGTGTAAGCTCAATGTTATAACATTTCGAAGGAATATAGTATGGATTCTTAGGCTTGATCATCGTATAGGAGTTTCTATTGGATTATTCGCCTTGGTGCTATTCCACATGTTAACTTTTCCATGGTGGGGACTTCCCGGATCAACACCATATCAGCAAGAATGTTAGTTCTTGCAACTGGAAAAAAATTTCTTTATATCCAAACGGCCAGAAAAAAAATTTTCGTGAAGATAATCAGGCATACATATGCTATTTCCTTGAGCCTCTAAGATGGCTGATACCGATACAACAAGCTAAAACCTGCAGAGTTGTTTAAAAAAATCTCTTTTTGGCCGTGTAGTGTGAAAGTAGTGTGTAGTGTGTCCAATCAGCTCCTAGCAGCTATTGGCTGATGCGCTTCAGTGGGCGGAGTTACAAACGATGACTCCGCCCAGCTGCTACTACTACTTCATCGGACATTATAGACTGTACGTCTTCAGATTTTCCACTTCAATCAATTTTTTGAGGTTTTCACGAGTTCTAAAGCACATCCGTTCATTCAATCCATAAAGAGCAAAAGTAATTTAATCCATGAAGAGCAGAAGTAACGAAATATTGATGCCATGGTGATGAAAGTTTTGTTGTTTATAAGCCAGCCATCCAATTATTTTATCCTAATTTCGAATCTGGAGGAAAGCATTGACGGTTAAAGAGTGAAGAACTATTCAGCCATTCCAGATATCATAGTCAATGGAACGAAGATTCTCAATCCAGATCCGGTCGGATGTAAAACTTCATTTGACTGGTAAATGATTATAAAAGTTTCCTATCTGATCCCTTTTGCATATTGAAAAACTATCTTTCATATGTGTTATACTTTGACTCTAACCCAGTTCAGAGAACAAAATGACAACGTTAGAAAAAAATTCTATCTAGGTGTGCGTATACTCCACCCATCAATCCTATACTCTTCGTAGTCGCTTACGTTTTCATGGTAGGACCGGCCTTTTCTCTGATCAATGTCAGTATGAACACTGTTTTCTCTACGATACTCGGACCAAGGAGTCAGGCAGGTGATTTGGATTTCTTCAATCGAATTTGATTCGATCATCTTCAGGGCACCATGCAGGGAGTTCTCTTGCTCAGCGGTAGCGTTGCTCGAATGCTTGGTCCAATTTTTGTGGCGTAAGTATATTTTGTGCACAATTTCCCGTTTTCACAGAAGAGTCACGGTAGGGATAGTGACTAAGAGTGCAAATGAACGAGCTGTCTGCGCCGTTCTAGCACCGTGCCAGCCCGTTCCAGCGCCGTGCCAGTGCCGGCGCTACCAAGAG